AATGAAAAGGATGAAGAGCCTATAAATGCTAATTATTAAGGGGGAGCATGCATGTATTAGATGCAGAGACCTTTCCAAATTTATCAATGTTTAAATTCAATAGCACAAATGGAGTTTCCACCAGAACCTAATATGGAAAGGAAGACTTGATAGATTCCGGTGGTGTCACAATCTGGTCACTATTCTATCACATTAATTATGCGTGTGGGCACTACACAGTTATTTTTAGAAGGAAACAAGAAACAATGACCTTTTCAAATCACCAAAAGGGGCATTGATAAATAAATGTTCGAATTTTAATTCCTAAAAAAGAAAATGATCAGTAAATTCTCCAGCTATTATATTCTTTCACATCCGAATATATGATTAATGGACGATAGAAGGTTCATACCTATGCACATAATCTTTAGGTGACTCATTATGTATACTTGCCTATGGTCGAAAGTTCACGTCCGTCATTCTTTTCATATAACTCGCAAGCTTCACGAAATACAAAGATATCATAGGACTCAATGTGCCGAAATACAAAGTACTGTATCATAGGACTCGATACTCCGAAATGAAAGAAAATATTCCGCTCCCGTCACCCGTGGACTCGGCATTCGTCGTTTACTCCGACTCCGACGGTTTTAACCTATTCACTTGCGAACAAGGTTAAAAGGATTGAGAGCGGTATTAAGAAAGCGTTGGAATATTCCAGAAAATTCCGTGAAGCGATCGGATTAGTGATGCACAATTGTTTAATGCAAAGTCGTCTGTGTTCGTATAACAGGCTCGCCCGTTATTTTATTAACACGTAAAATCAGGACAAAAATGTACAATAAACTCAACACTTGTAATAAGAAACGGTTGAATATATGTAAAGGAAGACTTTTGTTGCCGTGCACGAATATTTATCCATTGTCTTTAAGGATTTTATTTTACGCTCACGATTAAAAAGAATTCCCGTAAAACATTGCTACCAACACTAAACTTTCAAGGACATCCAACTTTCCATCTTCCATCTAAAATAATAGGTGGGGCCATCCTTTTTTAAACGTAATCATCACGCTTCTAAAATCTTCTATTCATGGCCAAATTCTACATGCCTTTCTAAAGTCTCGGAATTTAATATTGGCATATATAAGACTTTATGTGAAAGAGAATGAGGAAAAAATGGACTTAGCCTCCACCGCAACTTTACGACAAAAAATAAATATTCATATACAAAAATAAAATATATTTACTTATTTTTTCCTATTTAGGTGCCAGAGCCTTCACGATCCTTAGTTGCATTCCGTCAAAAGTAAAGATACGTTGATTTATCGCGTTGTCGTAGCAAGATTTTTCAGAGAATTCAACAAACGCACATTTCTTAATCAAAGAATGGTGATTACCAAAGTGTCAAATACTTTCCGCAAGACTTCGTGAACCGGTGTCAGTAATCCTTACCCTTTCACGAACAACTTCAATCCATAAAACCTTTCCAAACTTTTCTTCAACACACTCACGCAATTTTTCTTCATCGATCTCAAAAGGCAGACCACCAATGAAAGCTCTATTAATTCCGGTTCCTCCATAAGGGTAATAGTATGATTGCTGATTGCATAAGTCTTTTTTATTATTATTATTATTAAGGGAAATGAAGGGTCAATGGGTGAAACTAATACGTATTATGAAATCAAAACATTCTTGACACGATCTCGCAAATTTTATGAAAATCCATTATATATTTGTATATATATGTCGGGTGGAAAACTCACTGTTGAAATGAGATCTGGTTCTATTTTGAAACCTCCTTCGATTTTGACCTTTTTACGCGAAAATAAAAAATTTAATACGCTACCAATTTACCGATAAAAACAAACATATTGAAATTTTTAACCTTGCCAACTGCTGCCGCAAATCATTCGATTGATAGATTTCACGAAATCCACTTCTTTGCGAGCAGACCCCTCGGTCACCGAATAAATATTGGCGTCTTCTTTGAGATCACAGCCAGCAAATTTCATCAAGTTATAAATCAATTCCCTTTGCGTCATGATAAGGTTGTCTTTCATGGTAGAAACATTTTGGTATTGGGCGAGAAGAGTGTCCTTTAATAAAATTTGGTTCAGAATGAGATGACAAGAAGGGCATTGCACAGGTAGGTTTGGTACTTTGGACATGTCTTGAAATTGGTGGGCAGGTGGAGGTAGTGACAACTGATAACATTGTGGCGGTTGTGGATATGATGAAGAGGCTACTTGATAAAACGGCTGAGTGGTCAACGGAGGAGGTAATTGAAACAGTTGTTGTTGCAAGAGTGGTTGTTGATAAATTTGATATGGTGGTGGTGGTGGTGGCGGCGGCGGTGGCGGTGGAACTTGTGCTTGAGATACCTCCATCTCTTTATTATTTTTAGAAAATCGTGTTCGAAAGCACGAAGACCGTTGCGTTTTGGAATACAAATGAACAACGAGAGTTTATTGCGCCGAAACGTGCTCGTCCTTATATAATGTATCAATTCTAAAAGTGCATAATATATATATGTATATATATTATTTGCAAATTTTATTACTATCTTAGCTTACATAATAGTAGTTTTTATTAAACTCATCGTCATATATTACTAAAAAATAGGGTCAGTCATCATGTAATCATGTTGAAAAGTCGTAAGCATTTTTTGAAATTGTTCTCAAGAAATACATGTGCTGTATCTGAATGTTAACATATTGCTGAATTGAAATTTTTAATGTCCGTATGCTAGAAGACGACAAGATCACATGCCATTCCTTATTATGTAAATCTAAAAATATATTTCAATCCAACTTTATACGATCTGGTACAAAATATTTCAGCTAAAGTTATTGGCTCATCTGTTTTTTACGGACATCCTTGATCATATAGTCTAATTGTAATTGACCTCGGGGAAAAAATATTAGAAGGAAAAGAAACTAAATACTTACAGTATATAAGAAAAACCAAATTAGGACTTTCTTGTGACGTGTAGAGATCAATAGTTAACCTTTTTTTCTACTTTAATGACAGAAGACATTAATGAAAATAGTAAGAATACCAATTTACATTCTCGTCTCTAATTGCTAACTCGCGATTGCGTTCTTAATTTGGGTATGTGGTCGTTTTTTAAAAAATCACGTGATACAGGGCGGCGCGTCCTCATAGTCTCTAACACTAGACTTGAGTTAAAAAGTATAAAAACTTACTCTTGGGGTTGCGACTATTATTAAAATTGCTGTACATTTGAAATATATGCTTAATTAACAAATCATTGTTAGAATGTTCTAACGTTTAAATAATAAATTTTAATATACCGTGATCATATTAATATTATAAAATTTGGTTAAAGTATAATTTACTTATCAATCGATTTTTTATTTTAATACTGTATTTTATTTTAAAGATCATCTAAATACGTCACAATTATTATAAAAACAATGTTATTCTTAAAAAAACATACAATATACGGCATGCATATTTTTTATGCGTCAATTAATTAGAATTTTTAAAGTTACCAATTCCGTTAAAAATCTATTCTATATCGTTTAGCATTTTCTTTTATCGGATTATTTATCATGTACTATCGCATATTTTAATAAATTAAAATTTTTAAATATCCTATACTATAATACTAAGATCACCAATTTCTTATTAGTAACATATTGTTACATATGATACTTACATCACACAATGTCATCAGATTGTTGAAATGTTATGATTTAATATTTTCATATGTTTGAGTTTATTAAATTTTTATAGATAGTCAATTTTTTTAAGTTTAAATCCAGCATTATAAAAATTTATTTATATTGATTTGATTTACAGTAAAGCAAGTATTTATGTAAAAATAGCAATTGGAATATAGTAATAATAAAATATTAACAAATTCTATTTTTAAAAAAAAAAATCAATTGATTTTTTTATAATTTTATGAAAAATAACAATAAAATTATTTTAACATAAAAATTTATTTAAAATATATAAAATTTGATATAAATTATATATATATATTTATATTAAATTAATTTTTTGTAAAAATTAATCTGTAAAACAACAGATACAATTGTTTTTAATAATAATATTGTTTAAAACATAGAAAATATTTAAATAAATATTATATCAAATAAAAATAAATTTTTATATATTTTATATTTTTTAAAAAAAGTATTTTTTTTAATTATAAAATTATAAAATTATTAAAATTAAATAAAAAAAAATAATTAATCATTATATTTTTTTAATTATAGACTGATCCAAAAAAAAATAAAAAATTGAATCTTTCTTATCAGTTAAGGGACATTTCCCTCCCGTTGTTGTTACACACAATATAAATTGTATTATAAAAATAACATTTTGAGTCTTGATTAAGGGAAATGTCCTGTGACTATTATATAATTTCATTAATTAAATAAATATATAAAATAATTAGTTAATCTACTATCTCGAATAACTCTTAGTTTTTCAAAACAATCAACTTACTGAATGGCATCACATAACCAGTCATATAGGAAAAAATCTTCAAGGAAAAACACCACAATGGTATAAAAAACTTAAACATTTCACTTCATAAAGCATAGATTCAACAAATATTCAAAACAATTATCAAAAAACAAAAAAAAAAACTGGGAAGCAATTAAAATATCCAACACAACTATAATTGGAAAAAAACAAAAAACCATTTCTAAAAACAAAATTATTATCAATCCTTACCTATATCCCCCAACAAACGATCTTGACAGATCTTCAACTCTTATCAAATGCACCAGTTGTTCCTTCAACCAAACTTCAACCTTACACTCCTGTCAACTCCAAATAAACAAAACAAACTCTATTCCACTTCATATTTCTATCCAACAAAAGTCATATAAAACTTGTTCCACTCTCAAAGATATAACCAATTTAATCAAATATAAAATCTCTTCACCTACTTATAACATTCCCATTATCTCTATCCTCTTAATACCACAACAATTTCTCATCGAAAAAATCTTCAAACCACAATTACACCAGAACTTAATTCCTAACTGCTTAATCAAAACAAATGAAAAATCCTTTTACCTCTCAATTGAAACAAACCAAAACAAAACCAACATTAAATGGACTGATCTCTTTGAAATAACAACCTATACATGCGAACTTCCATACAACTCAATCCTATCTCTTCTTCTTACTATCCAAATAATTCTCATTATGAAACCTTTAACAACAGCAATCTTTTTCCTAAAAAACTACAAAATAAGCAAAACCATATTCTCTTCCAACTCAAAAAACCACTGTACCAACTGCAAAACACCATACAAAGATATAATTAACAATCTAAAACAAACAATTCAATTTTTACAAACCCACTGCACTTTCTATAAACCACCTTACAATTCACCACCACAACACAACAACATAACCACCCAAATAAACTTACTTTTTAACTCACAACTGTTCCAATATACTTTAACTAACTATTCTGGATTACCACTTCCCCCATTTGCAAGTACACAAAAAAAATCAATCACCTTTACAGAACTTTCAACATATTAAATTCAAAAAGAATCCAAACAACATTTCAACCCAACTTTCAAAATCTTTCCTATACCATAAAATTCTTTAAATCAATACCAATTCCTACAAACACTTCTGAATCTGCTATTTACAACTTCCATCTCAAAATTATCTTACAAAGTCTTCCCATTAAATCCCACCTACATATCACCAAACCTTATTTATACTCAAACAATCTTTGTCCACATTGCAACACTACAGAAGAAACCATCAATCATATCTGGACTTGCCCCATCAACAATAATATTTTAAAGACAACTACCCTTTTAATACACCAAATTATTAAAGAAACATTAATAACTTTCCTGAACACAATCTACACTACTTTAATAACATCCAAAACACAATATCAATAGCTATCAGTTTCACCTCCCCATCAACTATAACATCAAACCAAAAATTCATTTCAATCTTTAAACACATACAAATCTCTAATAAACTTCTTGAACTATTATATAACAACATATGGAAACCCAGAAACGAGGATATGATCCTCCAGGAAAAAATCTTCAGAATCACTCCTCACCAAAAAAAATTAACAAAAATAATTACATCAACTTCCAACAAACTACCTACTAACTCAATAACAACAACAAAACAAACCAACAACAATCATAACCAACACTCCAATATACTTTTTCCAAACATTTTTTTCAACTGTATTTCATTAACTGAAAACTTATTTTCATCAGATTTGGATGAAAAATTAAATTATTAGGGAGGCACTGACCCCCTAATTCAGTAAATAGTTACTTTTAAAATTTTGCCAAATTAAGGTTTTTATAAAATATATTTACTTATAGGCAGGTCAATGTTTATAGCAACATATCTCAATATATCACTATTGTTGTAAATTTTATACTAAGTTTCCTTCTGTAAAAATTGAATCAACAATTAATAAAGATCACAATTTGAGAAGTGCCTCACAAAAAAAAAATAAATAAAATAATTAGTTAATCTACATATAAAAAATAAATTATTAAATTAAAAAAAAAAACTTTTTCTTGATTGCATTTATTTTCTTAAAAATTTTTCTTGTATAATAATTTTTCTTAATAAAAAATATTTTACTTTCATTATTGCAAGTAAACTGTATCTTAAAAACTTAAGAACATTCAAGACAATTAATACAGTGGAATAAAACCTTTAATTAAAGTTTATTTAAGTTTTCTTTTATTTTTTTGCAAATCTTCTTACTTTTATTATATTATAAAAATCATTTATATTAATATCATTATACTTACTAAACTAAACATATTACTAAAAACATATTTAAACAAAGTTGCTAAACCTATTATTTTTTTTAAGTTAATCTTCACATATAATATTACTATAGTAATATTTGTTATATTATTTCAAATTTCTTATGATTTTTCATTCAAAAAATTAAAATTAGTTTATTCTCTTCAATAATTATTATTTTTCAATAATTTAATCAGATTTTATTAAAATATCAAAATAAAAACTGAATTTGCTTAAACTAGTTTTTCAATATAACAACAACAACAATAATAATAATAGTAAATAATATAAATCATATTATAATTTTTTTGTTATTAAAATATATACTAACAATTGAAAAACTTAGTAAACTTCAGTTTTTCTGAAAATATAATCTTTATTACTATAGATTCTATTGTTTATTTGATTTAGTTTTAGTTTTAATTGTTTTATTATTATATATATTTTCTTTTATTATTTATTTTTTTATATTTTATTTTCAAATTTACAAAAAGATTTATAAAATTTTTTTGAGTAGTAGATATAACATACTATTCAGAGACAACTAATATATAATATTGTTTTGAATTTTTTTTTTAATATTAACTAG